CTCGCTCGCTCGCTCGCTCGGCGCCGCGACGGCTCGGGCCGGGCCCGGGGCTCGATCTCGCGGAGCTAGCTCCCGGGGCGCACAAAGCCAGAGCGGCGGCAGAGCGGTCCCCGCCGCGCAGAGGCCTCTGGGAGGTGGAGTCCAGCGCTGGACCGGCGCGGCGCAGGGCATGCTGGGAGCGCCAGCGTCTCCCGCGGGGCTCTCTGTTCTCTTGGGGTTTTCAGGAGCCGGACGCACTCCGGCTGCGCAGGCGCAGCGAGCGGGCTCGGCCCGGAGCGAGGGTCGGGGTGGGATGCTCGAGCGCGCGTGCGCAGTGCTGGCCGGCGGCTGTGCCCGCTGGCAAGAGGAAGGAGGCTCCGTCTCAAACAAACAACAAAGATTTGGAAATCAGCCTGGGCGGTAGGAAAGGAATGATCTAGAGCAGCGGTTCTCACCTTCCTCGTGCTGTGGTGACCCCCCACCATAAAATTATTATTATTTCTTATTTTTTTGGTTTTTCGAAACAGGGTTTCTCTGTGTAGCTTTGGTTCCTGTCCTGGAACTCGCTCTGTAGCCCAGGCTGGCCTCGAACTCACAGAGCAGCCTGCCTCTGCTGGGATTAAAGGCGTGCGCCACCACCGCCCGGCTCCCGGCACCATAAACTTACTTTTGTTGCTACTTCACACCTGTAACTTTGCTCCTGTGGTGAATCGTAATATAAACATCCGTGTTTTCCGATGGTCTTCGGGAACCCTGTGAAGGGGTAGGTGGGCCCGCAAGGGTGTCGTGACCCACATGTTGAGAACCACTGTTAATAGGGTGGAATCACGACTGAGACTGTGGAACCCAGAAACTGGAACCTTCCTGGGAATCTCTGCTGGGAGAAGGAAAAGCCTGAAGTCTGGTACCAGTCAGCCAAAGGACTTGTCTGCTCAGCACAGTTCTTGTTCTCTACTTAAACCTAAAGCTTTTGTCGGGACTCTGAAAATGGATTTAGGACAGGGGGTGTGGGGTGTCACTGGATTTCTTTGGTCCTCTTTCCAACATGGCCACGTTATTATTATTATTATTATTATTATTATTTTGGTTTTGGATTTTCGAGACAGGGTTTCTCTGTAGCTTTGGAGCCTGTCCAGGAACTCACTCTGTAGACCAGGCTGGCCTCAAACTCATAGAGATCTGTCTGTGCCACCACCACTGCCGGGCATGGCCACGTTTAATAAATCCCCTTTCTCTACATGTCACTAATTTTTTTTTAATTGGCTTATTGAGGAAGGTGAGCACAGACAGGGCTTCCAAGGCCACGTTTTCTACACACACACACACACACACACACACACACACACACACACGTCTTGACTCAAAAAAACAAAATGTTCAACAAGATTGTTAGGTTATACCCGTTAACCCCCAAGATGGGAGGAGAAAAGCCACCAACCCAAATCATTATGGTCAAATGAATGAAAGCAAGCTTTTTTCTTCGTGTGCAGGGGCTGCCTCCCACTAAGGCCCAGCTCAAGAGGTCCGCTCTGGATGTGAAGGAAACAAGGCTTTTATAGCTCAAGGGTAGGGGTTTTCCAAATGGGGGAAAGACAGGTAAAATGAGGGGGCGGGGCTGTCACAGGAGCCAAACATAAGCATAACAAGTTAGTCCCTCCTGAAACAAAGACACGGTTGGGAAGTGGGCATAACAGTAGGTAGTCAGAACAAGGTAGTTGTTGTGCCCAGGTCGCAAGACCCCCAAGCAAGACCACCACAGAGCCAATGTCCGGTGCAAGCGCACAGAGGTTAATAACAAAACAAGCAAGGTTGGTGCCTGTCCAACATCCGACACAGGGACACAGCGGGTGGAGGAGAACGGCGGAGGAGAACGGCGGAGCCCTCACTTGAAGGGGTTTATATAGGAAGGGTTTACAGACAGCTTGGGGTTGGACGAGGAGGCTAGGGGTGACGTAGTTCTTTGAAGTTGCTGCCTGAACTACAAGCATGAGGTTACTGATGGCTAACAGAATGCAGGGTATCTACAGAGACCTAAGTTTTTACTCCTTATGTCCTGCTTTTGATGGTCCCAGGATATATACATTCAGATTTATTGTTCCAGTCCTACTCTCCTCTGAGGTCAACTTCTGGTCAGTTGAGCCCATTATTCCCTATGTCTTGTTTTGCCAAGTCCAAGATACATAGACTTATTGTCCCAGCCTTAAGTTCAACTTCTGGTCACTTCTAAAAATGCTGGTCAGAAAATACCTTTGGAGGAGGGGAAGGGGAAGCATCTCACCAGATGGCTACTGATTTTTCCCTTTGGGTAGTCATAGGTGGTCACAAAACCTTTCAAAACAAAGGTAGGTTTGCAAGATGATTATAAACAACTTTTGAAACAAAGACACAATTGCCATTCCTGCAACAGGTGGCACAGAACCATTTGTAGTTAGTGTTACAGGTGAAGCATGGCCCAGTCCTTGAGAAAGAGAGGTTTAATCATCAATGAACCTAGTTTGTCTTTACTATAAGATGGCTTTTAACCCTAAGATGGAGGAGGCTGGTTCTTTATTCCCTCTTATATATGTTCAACTTTTCTCTGAAAGTATTTTACTATTTTTTTGTTTGCTTTTTTTTTTTTTTGAGATAGGGTTTCTCTGTGTGTATCCCTGACTGTCCTGGAACTTGCTCTGTAGACCAGGCTGGCCTTGAACTCACAGAGATCCGCCTGCCTCTGCCTCCCAAGTGCTGGGATGAAAGGCGTGCGCCACTACTGCCCAGCTACTAACTCTTATCTCTAGGGAGAACTATCACTGATATCTCATTCATGTCTTTTTCTTTGGAATTTGGTTATACTTCAATGTATGGAACAATTTAATCATTCCATCAAAATTACCAATGGTAGGCATTATATGAGGGGAAGTTTGATCTTGAGGGAAAATGCAATTTTATTTAACACAGTGATTTTTAACTGAAAATTGTAGTAAAATACACAGGAACAATATGTCTAAACAGAAGAAAATACTCAACTAAGAAATGATACACCTATTTAAAACAGTGTAACTTTTATTTATTTTTAAGAGTTATTTTTACTTTGAAGCCAGAGAAATACTTCGGTGGGTGGGTAAGAGCATTCTCTGCTCTTCCAGAGGACCTGGGTTTGGTTCCCAGCACCCGCAGGGTAGTGCAGGACCGCCTGTAGCTCCAGTTCCAGGGATCTGTGCACTCTTCCAGATCTCTGTTGGCACTGCATGCATGGAGTGCACATACATACACCCAGGCTCGCACACTCGGGAGGCAGAGCCAGGCGGATCTCTGTGAGTTCGAGGTCAACCTGCTCTACAGAGTGAGTTCCAGGACAGGCTCCAAAGCTAAACAGAGAAACCCTGTCTCAAAAAAAAAAACCAAAAACCAAAACAAACAAACAAAAAATCAATGTTTTATTCCTGTGAAGATACACCATGGCTAATCATATTGTCTGCAAAAATAAACTTTTATTTCTTATCTTCTGGTGTCTACATTACCTTGCTTCAATCTTAGGTGTACAACAGTAGGGTTTTGTTGTTGCTTTGTTTTGTTTCCCAATTAATTGAAATGTTAGCTGTAGATCTTCTATAAATGGAAAACTTTTCAGTCACATTTTCACAAGTGTGCATCCACGGTTAACCTTGCCCAGTTTGCATACCAAACAACTCACACAGGATTAAAATCAAACAGCACACTTAGTCCCAAGAGTTACTGCATACACTGCCATGGCCACGCACTCAAATCCAGAGAAGGAATCACGCGCGACTTTCAGCAGAAGTCTACGGGATTCGAACACCCTTCCACATCTCAGCACATAGGCTCACAAAACCCCTTACACCTGCTTAGGCCGTTTGACATCCTGGAGACTACAATTCCCAGAAAGGACTGCGACGTTAGCGCCAGAGGCGCTTCTGCGCTTGCGCCGTCTTCCGGCCTCGAGCAGCGAGTCCGCTGGTATTGAGGCGGTAATCGGGCTGTGGTCAGGGGGCAGGCCGACCAAGGAGGAAACAAATGGAGGTCCGGAGCTATCCGGAAGCTCCGCGGTGAGTAAGGGAGCAGGCGCCGCGGACCAAGAATCTCAGCCTTCAGACTAATGCGATGCCTGGACCCACTGTTTTTCATAGGCTTCCCGGTCCTGGACTACATTTCCCGTCGTCCCCCGCGGCTAGCGCTCAGTTGGTGCCCCCTTCTTGTGCCCAATTTCTCAGCTAACCTGGTAGACCTAGGGCAGTTTGGGAAGGTTCCTCCACCTTCTGAAATTAAGGATGTTTTGCGTTTAGCACTACGTTTGGCTTTGTGTATCCTGAGACGAAGTATTTTATTATACATATATATTATTACATATTAAAGCAGATCTTGAGTTGATTAAAGTACATTTACAGTAAAATTTTTTTAAAAGGATTTACTTATTTGTGTGTGTGTGGTGTGGTGTGGTGTGGTGTGGTGTGGTGTGGTGTGGTGTGTGTGTGTGTGTGTG